AGAACACAAACATCTTTCACCGTGCGAAAGAGGGTCGGCTTTGCTACCTTCTTTCTGGTTACCAACTTGGACCTCCCCTTAGGTTGATCTAAGTAGACCGTCCTTTGCTACGGATGCCAATCGAATACTGCAAGGGAACAAGTTGGCAACCCAAAGCAACTTCAACCTTGGGGGATGGTTGGTCTACGTGAGCAATATTGAGTTGGCATCCACAAAGTAGCTCGATCTTTAAGAAGGGTGATTTTCTTCCCTACACTGTTCCTCCTTTTCTAGTGGCGTTTCTTCTATCAGCTTGATCTTGCTTTGCTCAAAAGATTCCTTTTTTTCGTCTTGACGTGTTTGATTTTTAGATTGATCGTTCTCATCGACCACAAACAAACATTTGGAAGACAAGGATCAAGGAGGCAAAGAGGGAAAAGGGAGAAAGGATGTGAAAAGGAAGGATCACGACAAAAAAGATGCAGGGACAGAGAAAAGAAACGGTACATGTTTCGAAGACTATCCTTCTTTTGCTTCCTTTACTCTAAGAATCTTCCTTGCTGGATTCAATATTCAAAAGCTAGGTGTATCTTTCTTTGGTTCCTGAAGTTATGATCCTTTTGTAGATTTCCTCTGAAGAGCGATGGATAGGGATCACTGCTTTCCAGATGTAAGATATCGCAGCGCCCCTGTAGGAAAGACTCCACATGCACGCCACAGGAACAGGGAAAGGAAAGGGCAGGACATCAACCCAAGTATCCCAAACATCACCGGCCAAAAAACATGTGAGAGTGTCGTTTCTGGGGGACTCCCCCGGACTTGCTGCTGGTTCCCTTTTGGTGTTTTGAAACCACCCCAAAACAGACACAGCTATTTGCCACCAAGAAGCCTTCATGAAGACAGCTGGAAAGTTGTTTTCCCCCAAATGTGAAGACAACAGCTGGAAAGTCGTGATCCTCCTCCCCCTCCCCCCAAAAAAAAACGACAAACAACCATGTGAGTGTACATGTAAAGAGAGTTGAGCTTCTCTTTCCCATCGCCAGTCAGCTCAATGTGGCTATGGGTTAAAACCCAAATTGTACCTCCAGTGAACATCCCAATCCAACCACTATAGGTTCTATTGGTGAATTCGCCAATCCCAACTAGGATCCCAGTGACAACGGCCATGTCTCAGGCTATCCCTTCCCTCCGCCGGGCTACCCCGGTGCCCCGGGGGCGCCGATGCCGGGGATGCCGGGGATGCCGGGCATGCCCATGCCCGGCGCCCCCGTGCCCGGGGCGCCCATGCCCGCACCCGAGCCAAAGCGCGAGCGCTCGCGGTCCAGAGGCATGGGGGAGGGGGGGAGGGAAGGTAGGGTCAAGCACCTCTTCTTTGGTATATATATATATATATACATGCAATATATGTCTATAGATAAATTCCCTTGTTTGAGCTATACTCAAAACGCAGGAAAGTGAGGGTTAGTCCAATCATGAGCGGGAGCGGCCGCCCTTTTTAAAATACTTGGTATTGGGTCCCTCTAAGACCAGCTTTTGATTACATGTGCCAGTAACTCATGTAGTGATGCGGTCGGTGGGCACCAAAGCAGCAAATTTTGACCGTGGACCTCGCTCCAGAGAGGATCTTGAAGGGCTTCGATTCTAAGCCACAAGTTGGTTGTTTCAGTGGCGTCCTTTCAACATGAAACAGTCGTGCTTGGATTCATAGGGGTTGCCTGCCCCAACAAGAATGCCGCCCAGGACCTTGTAAGAAGGAATTCATCAGGGACTTTCGGCAGGGATGGCCCACTGCACATGTTTGATGTTCCCTCCCTTTCATGTCAGACCTTATGTCCACGCCTGCCTCAAAGCTATCCTGACAGTCCTTCTGCTCAGGCAGATTCTGTGCAGTCATGGGACCGAGTGTCCTACCCCACCAGTTTGCTGGGCCGTTGTGCCGGACTGCATAGGTCGAAGACGGACACCCGGACACCTTTGAACCTTTTGGAATGGGCAGCTTAAAATCGCTCAGTTGGCAACGAGATTCGGCATTCTGGGATTCTGGCACGTTCAGTTGGTGAATGGTGCACAGGTGAATTGGAATGGTTTGGGATCAGGGCCTGTCAGTGGTACAACTTAGCAAGCAATGCATTCTTTAAAGAGCTGGCCCTCAGAAAGTACATGGGTGGGTGGGTGGGTGGGTGGGTGGGTGGGTGGGTGGGTGGGTGGACCACAAAGAGGTTGGAAGGCAAACTCCTCGTGTCAGGATGCCACCCGCCAGGAGGTGAGAATGGTCGAAAGCGAGGAGGCGGTGGCGGCGGAGGCAGCTTCAACGAGTGCTACGCCTGCGGAGAGCAGCGGCCTCAGGTTTGCCACAGGTCCATGCGTGCCACAAGCAAAGTTTTCTTCCTGACAAGCCACAACCCTTGTCACTCCACATACGATTTGGAGCAGTTCTTTTCAGACTCTGCTTTTCTCGTGACAGTGGATCTGCCTCAAAACCTGTGCCCCCTTTCATGTCATGCCTCGGCTCCGAGCGCCCTGAGGTCTGGCCATTTGGCGCGGGACTGCCCCAACAAGGGCAAGGACGGCTTCAGAGAAATGTGCCCGGGGCCCAAGCATGTTTTTTGTAGGTTTGGGCAAAGATAGATGGGTTTAGATGGGTCTTATGCCATTCATATACCAGGCAACCTGTCTAGTTTTCCAAAAGGCCACCTGGCCCCTTGGGCCATAGTCCGCAAGTGCAAGGAATCTCAGCAGTTTGCCACCAAAAAAAAAGACACCCACCTTTTCGGCCAACATGCCAGCATGAAAAACGGAAATTCCTGAGGGATTTTGGTTTTGGATGGTGTGAAGGGGTTCCACAAAGTGTCGGAAATATGGTCTCGCTCGCTCAGGTGGGGACTTCCGGCGGGGCGAGTGCAAGCGCGGCGCCTTTGGCGGCACTTGTTGCCCCCAATGTGTTTGGGCGGCCTAGCTAAAGTGGTCGGGTCCCTTTGGTGTTGGGTTGTTTCTTTCTTTGATTTGTTGTTTCTTCGTTTCATTCCTGCTTTCCTTCTTGATTGATTTCTTGCTTGCTTTATGTCTTTCGGCACCAACAACAGCCTAACCGCTGATTCCACGAAGCGACGGTTGGTTTTTTTGGGTTGAAATCGCTCGATGGCCTTGCTGTAGGTCTTGTAGTTTTCCTCTTGGCTTGCTCCAAATCCGGAGTTAAAAAACCACAAATTGCCCCTCCAAAGACAACACGGTGCAATGCATAGCAAGCGGACATGTTCAATTGTCTCAATGTTCTCCCTTGAAAGTCAGATGAAGCCAACTGTTTGCTCATCATCGCTACCTAGAATTCAGTGGGCGAATACGACTGGGCAACAGTTGGCAAAATTGGTGGTACGGGTGCGGTATTTGAGTGCTGAGTAAGGCAGGGGATAAATCTGGGTGAATTGTAACAACCTCACACGACCTCACCCCAAATGGTGGTTTCTGTGGGGAATAGCCCCCAAACCTTATTTCATGCTGGTGAAATATTATAATTATAATTCACCCAGATTAATGAGTGCTTCATTTGTCGAGACTCCTGATTGAACACCAAGCTGACTTCTTCAGACCAGCAGCTCCGCAGACGAAACTCACCTTGGCTTCGCTTTGGAAAGGAGACAACTCCGCTGCTTGAGACCCTGGTATGAGAACCACTCGTTTGAGTGGCCATCTTGTTTGATGGTGTTCCAGGGTACACCAGTGGATATAATTGTTTGCTCTTCATCCTCATGTTGATTTCACCATATGTATATATATAATATACATATATATATATATATATATATGCAGAGAGGTACCAGCCAAATTCCGCTCCGCATCAGGTGACAACTGCCGCTACTCCCATGGCAGTCGGCGCTAGGCGGGTTGAAGCTGAAACGCTTCGACAGACCCAACGCAAAGATCCTAGCGGCTCATTGCAGGTAAACTGGGAGAATGAATCGCACCCCTTTTTGAAGGGTGCTGAAATGGACAAGAAATGAAAGCCGGCCATTTGCGGGAGTCTTGTAAAGAAAGAGCTTACGCAGGATGGAGCGGCACATCTGCTTAAGACTGAGTCTATGGTTTCCCGTCGGTGTTAGGAGATTGGATGGCGGGACGTGTTTGTGAGTGACACCTGAAGCAAATGGAAGTCTTGACTGCACCTGGACACATCTTTGAGCTGTGTGTTCAAAGGTCCCCCGGGATCCCTGAGTCGAGCTCCGGCAATTCAAGACGTTTTGCTGGGCGAAGGGTTCATGGGGGCGCTGGGGGCCGGTGTTTCCCACTTGCCACTAGCGTGGAACGTGACCGTTTAGAGGAAAGGGGGCCTTCTGGTGGGTTTCATGTAGTTGAAACAGATCCAAAGTGTCAGCCATGCAGTCCTGCAGGTCTAGGATGGCGTCTATGAAGCAGCCGGGCAGTGAGTCACCGGTACGTGGGGCACGTGCCGGTGTTCTTTCGCGTGGCCGGCCGGGCAAAGAGGATTTCCCTAAACCTGTTTCCGGAAAGGATGAGCTGTTTGTTTCTCTCAACACCTGACTAGTTACCTACAACGCCGATCAAGAGAGGAGATATGAGCATGTCCCCTTGAACAGATTCCAGGTTTTGGATCAACCCCCCGCCCGTTTTGGGGGAGGCCTGCCGGTGATTTGTTGCGCCAAACGGCGATCCGCGAAGAAAAAAGCAGAGCCAGAGCCAGAGCTCGGAAGCCTCCTTGTAAAGCAGACGCATTGAGTTTGGGAACCTGAAACGAGGCGGGAACCACAGAGGTTGGCAATGTCTTGTAGCACAAGATCAATCCAAATAGGCCGAACAGCCCTTCTGAGACCCCTGGCGTCATTTGTGCCCTCGAGGGTGGTCATTTTGTGAACGGAGAAGCTCCCGGAAGTGTGGCTGTGCTTAGTGCCATTTGTGCCCCACATTAGAGATGATCATCAACCCATAGAGGTTTTGGCCAATCAAACAGGGGGTCCTCTGTGTCCATGGCACAAATGGGGTGTTCTAGTCGGCGACATAAGCTCACCCTGTTGGGACTTGAGACGTGCGCAAGTCTCACTCCAGTGTGTTCTTTCAAATTAGAATACCCGGGGGGAAGACAAAGCGGGCTCGCAAGTGCTGGTTGTTTCCTGCGCAGTAGGAAAAATTAGTCCTGGCCAAGGGCCTGTCCACTGCATGCCATTGGCTTAGGGTGTTTTTGACATTCTCTCCTCAGCTTGCAGTTGACTTTAGGTCCGATCCATCCATCCCTACCAATGCTCGAGTAAGGACTGCTAGCATCCCAACGTATCATCCGCACACGAAGGGTAAACTAAGAGACGTAGTTGTTCAAATGATCAAAGTGCGATGATTTGTCATTGGGAGAAGTTCATGGTTGCTCAAAACTCTTACTGTGCACGGGGTTTGTTGGGACAGCAATCCACTGATGGCAGAAGAAGATGTTGGAGATTAATTTGTTTGGCAGTAGGGAAAGTGCTTGTGTGTGTGTGTTCTTGTTTGCTTGCTTGTGTGTGTTGTTTGTTTGTTTGTTTGTTTGTTTGCTTGTTTGCTTGCTTGCTTGTTTGTTTGCTTGCTTGCTTGCTTGTTTGTTTTGTTTGTTTGTTTGTTTGTTTGTTTGTTTGTTTGTTTGTTTGTTTGTTTGTTGGGTTTTGTTTGTTTGGTTGTTGATTGTTTTGTCTGTCCATTTGTTGGGTTGTTTGCTTGTTTGTTTCCGTGTTGGTGTTCTTTCGTTCTGGCTTTCTTTCTGTCTTGCTTTTTTTCCCTTTATGATTTCTTTCTTGCGTTCGTTAGTTCTGCATTTATTTCTGCATGTTCTGTCTTTCTGTCGGTTTGTCTTTTCTTCTTTCTTTCCTTGTTCTTTTGTTCTTTCTTTTTTCTTCCTGTCTGTCTGTCTTCTGTCCGTCTTCCTTTCTTGTCCTTTTGCCTTTCTGCCTTTCTGCCTTTCTGTCTTTCTGTATTTTTGTTTGCTTATTTGTAGTGACTCAACAAACAGATGGCGCTCTTTGAGTTGTCAGTTGTTGATGCTTTGGTGTTCCACTGTTCAGTGGCGTTCAATACAACATCATACGACTTGTTCTGTCAGCCCGCTCAGAAACATAGTTATGCGTATAAATAGAGGTGAGCAACGAAGGAAGCCAATCGTTGGCTCGATGGTCAGAAGAATACTTGTTGGCACAACACTGGCTTTGGCATGTGCGTCACCAGCAGGGCCATTCCAAAGACGTGGATGCTCCTTGCTGTGCTTAGACCTCGGGGAGGAAGCGTAAGTCGTGCCGGAGCCGCGAGAGAAGTGCTGAGCGGACGAAGTCCGTGCCCAAGACCAAAGCCCAGGTAAGTTGAGATAAGTCGGGAACTTGTTGACACGAAGTGCACGTGTTGGCCATGTTGTACGTTTGGGTCGACTTTTGATACGAGGTTTTGGTTAGGACTCTGTGAAGCCTTGACTTTCGCGCCTGTGCTCGACCTGTGGGCTGGCTCTGGTTGGCCATTCGACCACTTCTGCAAGGGCCTTGTTTGCGCGTGCGTTGCCTGACGTGCCTGACGTGCGGGACGGGACGGGACGCGGCGTGGCATTTCAGCGATCGGGGCGTCGGAAGGATTCTGGATTGGTCCAGCCTGAGGTGAGTGAAGCGGAGACTGCAAATTTGGGTCTTGTTTGTTTCAACAAGTGCTGTTGCGATGTTTGCTCCTTAAGGAAATATCCAGTGTTTTGGCTCAGAGGAAAAGTTGTGAGGGGGCTCGGGCGCTTGAGAGGGAGCGAACTGACACAGGCGTTTGCGGCATGTGCACATGGCACATGGCGATCTGAATTTAGTAGGCACGAATTGGTGCATGAGCTCCAGCTTTGCGGCCTGGCGAACAACAGGAAAGCACTCACTTGGCGACCGGGTCTCGCGGATCAGAGCGAGAGATGCTGTGACTCGGCGAGCATTGGGCGATTGGGCGAGGGGAGGACCCGAGGTTCAGGCCGTGAAATCTGTACGGCGACTGAGTCTGCTTCGATTCGTTTGAAAGTTGCTCGGATGTCATCTTGGGATCCAACATACTGCCTGGGTCTTGAAGCCCAGAATGGGGAGGGGGGGGTTCCCCTGACCGCGTGTACGACAACATTGGAGTGTTGCTGTTTTGGTAGCTGCGCGTTTGCTCGCCGGCAACTCCGGCAGCCAAGAGCGAGAGCGATGCAGTGCGTGCTGGATTGTATCATTCGACCGTGGCCGAGAGTGCTTGAGCACTTGGAAACATTCCAATGGTTGTTCTTTGGTGGTTCCCAGCCATCCCCTTAGCTGTTTAGCCTTTTATTGTTTAGCCCACTAAAAGTTCAACTTTTAGCGGGGGATCTGAGGACAGCCCAGATTCTTCATTTCTTGTGATCCAACGTGTTTTGGGCTTAGGCAAGTCGAACGAAGGGCAGCCATCAACAAACTGGACCTTTCAACGGGAATCGGGCCGCCGGGGCCAAGCAGACATCATAATTCCCTGCAAGCCAGCGACCGCTCACGCGCCAGGTTCCCCCTTTTTTCTCAAAGGCTTCAAAACAAAGTTGATCAAACTGCCATGTGCCAATGCGGGTGTGTCTCTTTTTAGCGGGGCCCGACCATGCTCTTTTGGTTTCCCCAGGGGTACCCTCACAAGACAGCACGAAAGGTCGGTGCCTTCCTGTGAGGCCCTTGTACTTTGGACATCCGGGCCCCTGGGTGGGGAAACCAAAGGAACCCCTTGCCGCTTGGAGTCACATTCTGTTGAAAAACCACGCAACACGTCCATGTGCTGAAGAATCTATGTTCTGAGTCTTTTCTGTGTTTGTGTTTTCTTCATGGGGACTTGGATTGTTCGTAGCGCTTCGATTTTTCGAATCAATGTTGAGTCTTGCCTGGTTGTAAAGGGAATCTATCCCTCCTGAAGATTATGTTTATTCTTGACGCAAATGGAGGACTAAGCCCAAAGCGGCGCTCCCTTTGAGCCATTGTGGCTCTTGCGTCCGAGCTCGCTCGCTTAGCCACAGAAGTGCTCGTGAAGGGTGCAGACCCTTTGGGGGATGTTGTTCAGCGCTTGAGTCAGTTTGCAAGATCAAAATGGGGGGTTGATTCATTCTAGAACGTGAACTACTTGAACACGAGAATGATTGGATGTCCGTCGTTTTGGCATTGGCTGTGATTTCTACGAGTTTGTCTCTGTCCGGCTGTTTTTGTCACGTGTTTTCTCTCATACGAATCTAGGGGAGAGCCGACCCAGCTTTGGCAGCCGCGGCTTTGCCCAAAGGTGCCAGTGCAACCCGTTCCCAGGTGCGCATGGCAGGCAGCGGGGCGAAAGTGGGCGGCCAAAACGCGCGCGCACGGAGCAAAGTTGGCAAGGGGGTCCGGGCCGGAGCGTTTTTTGCGCCAACACCGTCCAGAGAAACGAGCGGGTGTTGGGGGTTTGGGTGCTCTGGCTTTCAAGGTCGTGTTGAGAAGCCCCCTGCCCATGAAAGGAATCGTTCCAAAGGGAGGGTTTAGAACGCCGATACCTTTCAAATGAATTTGCGCTCAATGAAGGAGTGTAGTTTGGGAGAACTGTTTTATGCCAGACGGTCGACTCGAGATCCAGATATTGAGTCGTAAACTGGGTTTGAAGTGAACATGTTGTAAGGGCCTAATCAGTCGATTGACTGGTAGACCACCATTTCAAAGGAGCAAGAGAATGCAACCTAGACCAGCTACTGCGATTCCTTGTATTGGCAGGTAAACAACCAACCACCAGAAGAATAGTGAACCACTGGACCTTGGTACGCCACCAGTATTTTGGGAGTCAACAGTAGCTACCAGTACTGCTTCGACTGCTTCCTCTGTGTGTGTGTGTGTGGATGTGTGTTTGTGTGTTTGCGTTTGTGTTTGTGTGTTTGTGTTTGTTGTAAGAAAAAGTGTAAGTGCTACGTGTGGCTCTCCCGAGCATCGACGGAGCAACGATCTTCAGTTTGGGGGAGATGATATGAGCCGGCGCGGAAGGAAAGGTGCGAGGCCGGGGCGTGCTCTGACGCCACAAGAGTCAACAGGTTCTGCTGCCACTGTCAGCGTTGCTCCAGGAAACATGTATATGTATATAGATATATACACATATTCCTACATATATATATATACACCTATATATGTATATACAATTTGTGCACATATTGTGCCTGCGTGCGGCCATAGAGAATTGTGGCCCTTGGCTCCACTCCGAGCATTCATTCCTGACGGAATTCATCAGGTGTCAGCGCGGTTGGAATAGCTTCGCGATCGCAGCGCGAAGGATCTGAAGAGCGGCAAGCCGCTTTATGCGATGCAGGCGTACCATTCTTGGATTGTCCCAAGGTAGGCTGGAACCAACGAAATGGTTCGCAAGAAAGCCAAGGACTTACACGCATGAATCCTCTGGTCTACCTTGGGGCACTCAACAAATGGAATCCTGGCGACAAGCGCGAGAACGCTCTTGGCTGTGGGATGGGACTTCCCAGCGGTCCAAGAGGTGACTGGTATTGGTCAGGGGAGACTTCACCATGGATCATTGGCCAGCGTATGTTGGTGGACTGGACAAAATGGGACCTGTTGTTAAGCTTGGGCTGGCCTCACATTGCCGTGAACAACATGTTTCCGGACACTTGCTCTTGTCCACTCCCCTACGTCCCCCTCCACGAACAGAGGGTAACGTTTGCGCAAGACGCTGTGTGAATACTGGCAATGCGCGACGATCCAAGCTGGGAGAGCCTGCGACTCTCTTATTGCACTTGCGAGCTCCAGGTAGGGTGCCTTTGCCAAGCTCTTGAAATCTGCAGACAATTCATAGTTAGTGTCCCAGCCCTCAATCATCTCGCAGTGAAGTGGCATTCAGGAAGAATTGGAGAGGAAGGAAAACTCAATCAGCTCTTTTTTCAATCGTTGAAAAAAGAGCTCTCCCTCAGGAACTCTCTCCCTAAGCTGAGCAACCTTTTTGCGTGGGCCGGAAGCTCCCGGCGCGTGCCCCGGCAGGCTGCGAGCTCTGAGCGAAGGCGTGGGGGATATAGCGCTTTTAGCGGGGAAAAAATGGACTGAGCGCTGGTCAAGCGAGTTCCTGGTGTCTGGGGCTGGGTGGGCGAAGTTGATAGATCGTGTGCCTCTCAGAAATTATGATGTGTTATGAAATGAGTGAAACAATCGACTTCCGGCATCTTCCAAGGGATCAAGGGACCTATTTGCCACCACGGATCTTTCCAACCATTGTGGCTGCTACGGGACATTGAGTACAAGCCCTTGCTTCTTGCAAGGAGAGCATGTGCAGTGAATGCAGCTGCTTCTATCTAAGCCTGGAATTACATTCCCAAGACGGACTGCAAAATCAAAATTCGTAGATGGCTTGGTGTACCTTGAGAGGCAAACACCAGTCCCAGGAGCCAGCTTTGACTAGCAGAAGCGAAGCCGCACGATTTTGGCGTAGATAAGGATGGGATGAAATGACTGCATACTGTGGGTGCACCAGCCAAGAACCCTGGAATGATTCGAGTATCCTGTAAATACCAACAAACCATGGTTTCAACCATGGTTTCATTTCGTTGTGCGAAAAGGATTTCGCAACCATCCACAGTATGAGCGATACCGAAACCGGAACTTGCAACACATCTCTCGCATTAGCAAATTTGCATCTCCGCCCAAAGTTGGCGCCGATGCCTCCCAAATGGCTTGCTTCAGCTTCCGCGCGAGGCGGGGGCGTCCATTCGATTTTCTTGCCCGAGACCGAGGAGGTGAAAGGCGATCCTTGTGAAGCCGTGACATCTTTTGCTTCTCTCTACGTCATGGCTTTCTCTTTCGATGCTGCCCTCAGCTCTTTTCTATGAAATGATGGGAACTCCCTTCAACGCATGCTTTGGTAGATATCAATCTCCAAGCCAACGTGACCTCAAATTTTGCAATTTCCAGGCTTACTAAAATGTAAACCTGGCCAAAGGATGTTTCCAACCAAGCGCAGCCCCTTTTCCGGGGCCTCCCCCAAAATGGGTTTTCCGTGGTTTCCCTTTGCAAAAAAAACATCAAAAAAAAACGGCTTTTCTCAAAACACAGGCACGCAGTTTCCCGTCCCGTATTCTCAGCTCGCAGGGCCAAGTGGGCGCGAAGCATCGCAACCCGCCCGGCGGCCTAGCGCTGAGTCCAGCGGGTTTTTGTGGCCGTTTTGGGGAGATTCGGTTTGGGTTCGGAAAACGAAGCTCAAAATGTTTATTATTATTATTACTATTATTATTATTATTATTATTATTATTATTATTTATTATTATTATTATTTATTATTTATTATTATTTATTATTTATTATTATTTATTTATTATTTATTAGTATTATTATTATTATTAATATGATTATTATTATTTATTATGATGTATTATTATTATTTATTTATTATTTATTAGTATTATTATTATTATCATTATTCTTATTCTTATTATTATTATTATTGGTTTTTTTTTCACCTGGGACCTGTTTTTTCCTCAACTCGACTGTATTTCTTCACCTTGGCCTGTGTTGCCTCAAAATGGGGGCTGGGTCGGCATGTAGTTGCACAACTGCCGTTCGCTAGAAAGGAATATATGCTACACACTGTTCCGGCTTCCGCTGAAATATGCACGTTCAGAATGTTGCTGACTCAGCCGCAAATGGCTTTCGCAGGAGTCCTGCAAAAAAAGTTGCGGCTCGTTCCAGATGCCTTTGCTTAGGTATCCTCCGGGAACAAAACATGTCACCGGGAGATGGGCCACCAAAGCGGAGTAGTCCAAACCCCTGCAGTTGCCTGCGAGATTTTTGCCTTGGCGAGTTCCGCTGTGGTCAATGCCATGGTCGGTTTCTGAGAGATTCTCCCCGGGTCACTGCTGGGGTTCGGGTTCAGGCAAGTTGAAATTTGCGCCGGGCAAGGAGGCCATCTCCATTTGAAGATGGTGATTCAGGTACCCTCTTAGTTGGTTTGGATTGATTGGAAGCCCTGGTTCTTGTAGAGGGTTATTGGGAAACGAATGAACTGTGCGAAGGGCCCACCTGATGTGAATGAGCCAAGGATACTGCAGAATTTCTGACAAGAAACATGGCCAGGCCATTGTGCTAATCAGCAAGCGTCAACTCTGACTGGCACATGATCGCCTTTGTCATGATCAAATTGCAATGCTTCGCTAAGAATTGGTTTCTAAGGAACGGCCATGTTAAAAACTTCAGCGACCCAATTGGGGCTTCATCAATCTTCCCCGCCAAATGACAGCGAGTAACATTTCCCGTTTAGTGGGGAATACCATCATTTTAGTGGTTTCCCAACTGGTCATCCCATGAACTGTTTATCCCTACATGGTAATTCGATGTCTCACGGACCTTTTGATCAAACGCCCCAAGTCACAGCGCCCATGGCACGGACCTTTTCGGCACGCCAGAAGCTGCCCGCCCGGTGGCACGCCTCAAAGAGGCTCGGGGGTAACGGATCCGACACGACCTTCACGGGATCCAGAACTTGCTGCGATAGCCAGGGAATGAGAAGTATAATGAGCCCGAGAAAAACCATCCAACTAATTTCCTTTTTCGGGGATCCCTGGGTTCATTCCCACATTCCTTTTTGAGCACCAGCAAGACAAGACCAGTTACGACCCTATGCTCCTTTTTGAGGATGGAGGGTTCAGCGGCCTTGTTTTCATGGCACAAGAAGAACCCGTTTTTGCAATCCTATATGTCGCTTCATGGAATTTCAAATGAGCCACAAGCAAAGGAAAAGGCAGCGGTTAGTTGGGGTGCTGCTTCTACAAGCAGGCAATTGTTGATAGAGTCACTTCAGACCCAGTTGAGCCACACTCAAACCTGGGTAAATGAACCCAAAGGATCCGAGTAAATTAAGTAACCCCCAACGATGCACTGGCAGTGACGATTAGACATCGCATTGTTTGACACTTATACTTGGGGTCGGTGCCTGCAAGAAATGAACAGTGATGCCGGCGTGTTGCCTGATGTTGGGCGTCGTGCCGCTATGCGTGTTTTGGCTGACTTGCCCAATTCCCGACCTGTTGACCTCTTGTTTTAGCCATTTCGCGTTTCCATGTTAGTCACACCCAAAAAGGTAAGCCCATCTATTCGTTTTTGCAGGTCTTTGGGTTGCAAGTGAAACCAATGAGCGCAGGTGTTGTTTACCCACAACCCTGCCTGACCGCTTGACTTCATAGCTGTCCATGCTACGTCGAGAATCTAGCCCACTTGAGCTAGAATTCAACCTGGGCAGATAGAGGTGAGTGGGGGGTCCATCCCAACAAAAGGTGTGACAGGCCGTGATTTCATCTACTTGTAGGCAGATCCCTCGCCGGCAGGACCTGCCCCGGCGGCTTCTGCTGGAGATGGGCCACCCCTGGGTCTACGACAACGAGGTCCGCCGAGCCCTCGGCGAAGCCTCCCAAGGGTTGGCTGTGGGATCTTTCAGTGGGTGACACCCCACTGTGATACAAGGGGATCCCTCTTTACTACCGGGGGGTTAGTTAGTCTTTGGAAGGCCCGTGGTCATTTCCCCAAGGAATTGCTCCCAAGGGTTGGCCTTGGGGAACCCCAAGTGGGTGGTTTCCCTTTGGGGGTTCCAGCAAGACACCCAAATGGGAACCCCCCCAACAACACCTTGGTGTATGGGTGGCGTTATTCGTGGCACGGCTTTACCACCAGGGGAAACCCAAGTTGGTTTTGCTCTTGGTCTCTTAAACGTCCACAACCCTTCAGGCGGCTTGCCTGTTGGAGCCTTGGTATGAGTCAGACCTCTCTTGGAGGAGTTCCTACTTTTGAGCTATCTTCGTGTTTGCTTCCACCCCAGGGAACTTCTGATTCTGGTTGGTCAAAAAGCAGCCACGAGCTCACTGGCTACAAGGTGATTTGGGTATGGGTCAAATTCAAGCAGGGGACCACAGGTGTGAGTGCTTGGTTTCATTTAAGCCATTTTGGGGTAACTTTTGACACACAGCCATCACATAGCTTCGACAATTGCTGACGCAAACCATCAGCAAGTAGCGCATAGCTTCAGCATAAAGTGCGCATGTTTAGAGTGTGTTTGTAAGAAGAAAACTCTGCTTTTGGCGTGCATTGCGGATGTTTGAGAATCACCGCTCCGCGTGATTGGTATCAGATTAAACCCTGGACGGTGCCGGCCCTGTCCGCTTCGGAGTCTCAGTGAGGAACTTATTTGAGGCATTGCAATCAAGCCATGAGGCAACATCTCGGAACTCACCGGCATCAATGCTGGCACCCTTGCCCTGACCTCAGTGCTTTTACACAATTGCGCAAGCCCCCGCGTTCCTCAGCGCGCTTGCTTCCCCCGGGCCGCCACAATCACGACGGGCCTTCGCAAATGGGACTGCGGGTGGACGAAATCCTGCTTGGGAACCGTGAGAAACCATTATTTGGTATTTACAGGGCAATCATCCTTCCAGGGTCTCTCAGGTGCATCCACAGTATCAAGGGCTGGCTTGTCATCTATTTTGGAGCCCCAGATGTCTTTGGATGTTAGAGAGCCCAGCCTGTTCGCCTATCACCAAGGAGCCCGTGCAGGGCTCCAGTAGATGATTCCCAGACCTGAACATGGAGTCCATGGATGTCAAGTATCCCATTGGTTTGCATTGGTTTGCATTGGTTTGCATTGGTTTGCATTGGTTTGCATTGGTGATTTGAGGCTTACCCCTTTGTAGAGACATGGGACACCGTCCCCGAGCCAACCACCAAACCACCAAACCACCAAACCACCGGGCTCCAAACCACCAATTGGAAGGACGCTGAGATTTGGGTTGACCAATCTGAGGTCGACATCTTTGCCGCAGACGGCCGGCCCATGGGAGTTGGTGTCCTCAACAGGCGGTCTGCGGGTGGGCGGGTGGATGTTGGTCGTTCCATTTTCTCCATGCCTTTCCTCTCTGGGAAGGCGGGCGTTGGACCGAAACTCTCATCGGAAGCCGGCGGGAGCCGCTGCATCTAGCTGTCAGATCAATAAAGGAGCCTTCCTGAAGCCTCGGGATCCGAAAAGTTGGGACCCATGCGCACGACTTGGCTTAGAGACAACCCCATGTCGCAGCTTCCCTTCGGTATCCTTGTTGGTGTTCCCTTCCCCAGTGATTCCATTTGCCTGTATACAACCAAAAGAACCACCCTTTAAGCACCAAAAGGAAACTTGTTGGTTGCCTATAGCCTGGGGTTTTTCCTGCCACATACACCCACCCCCGCCGAAAGATCGGCCAGCGAAGGCAGGCCTGCATCGTGCTGCGGCGAGTGGAAGGCCTCCAGACCGGCGCGGAGGTGACGCAGGAGAGGTCCCAGAACCAGGTGAGCCACTGTGATGGTTGGTAATCTTTGTGGCGATTTGGTAGCGGATCTTTGGACTTTTCAATTTGACACTGTGTGACTCACAAAATGGGCCCTCGCAGATTGTCAAACTTTTGTTTTATTTTTCGCAGAGGGGTCAACGGGAACCAAGCCAGGGCTTGGCTTGGAAACGAAGAAGGGGACGCTCGTATGCTTCAGGGAATCGGCGATTCATCGAGCATGTCCCTTCTAAAGCCCCTTGCAAGTGTTTTCCGATTCTTTTTGAGGAAGCAAGGAGTCCTTACCTACAGCCTCGATTTTCATAGCAACTTGTCTTTGGAAACGAATCCCTCCTTTAGGACAGCCTAGGGTTTTAATTTAGTTGCGTCCCCTTAGAATTAAGTGAACGTCCGGATGTGTCTATGTCATCACCGTCAAATTAAATGAACACGTCGCTGTTCGGCTTCCTTGTGTTCGTTTTAGTGTCAGAAATCCGCGGCGGTCGGCTAACGCTTACCCACAAAACACTGTGGATGGGCGAAGCCTTTTTTTGCACCACGAAATGAATCGAACACCCATCCGTTGGGTTTAGGGTTTAGGCGCGAAACATGGGCTTCGCGTCCATCCACTCTGACAGACCCAACAAATTGGAGGGTCTCCTTTTTGTCTTTCTTTCCCAGAGGGTGATTTGGTACCTAAGGAGGAATTTAGACCCCTTTTTACCCCCCGAAAGCCATCAGGAGGTACTTGGACCCTCTGGGTTTCAAGTCATCAGACGGTGCCAACTCTCTAGGGGTGGCGTCTTCTTTCCAAGAAACCACCCAAATTTGTGGGGAAACGGATCTGGTCTTTTAACAGAACGAGGGTTGAAAAGAATGGACAAGGAATCAACCCTAGAAACTTACCCCCCGCCCTCCAAAGTCTTTTGGCGTCGCTTCCAACCAACCCCCAAAAAGGCAAGGGGCGCCAACGCCAAACACAACTCGACCGAATCAACCCCCCCAAACCAGCGACCAGACCCGCCAGCGACTCGACTCGAGGAGCTGCTCTCCACTCGGCTCAGGGCGGCCTTTGCGGCCCGAGAGAAGCGACCAGACGCCGAGTCGTGGCAACCCATTGGACCCGGGACTCGCCGGGGGAAAAAACGCCACCCGGGGTCCCCCCGGATTTCTATACCTAAACCCGTTGTCGTTAAGTTGATCCAAACATTTCGGCGCTTTTTGTTGTGGCGTTTCTTTTTTTTCCTCCATGGCTTGGGAGTGTCTTTCGGGTTTCTTCCGTGCTTTCCTGTTCTGGAAGGATTCTTTTTGCTCTTGGGCTGGGGGAGTCGTTTTGTTTGCAATGCTCATGCTTTCCGAGTTGCGTGTGTTGCGGATATGTGCCTTTTTTAGGGGACCCACAAAATGGTGATTTCCTCTGGCTTTCCTTTAAAACCACAAAAAGGGTACCCTCAACAAAAGAGACGCTCATATGTTCCTGTCCGTTTTTTCAGAAGGATTCCCCGTCAAATTTCTTGTAATCCACAAGCTGCAGGCTTCGGGCTAGAATTCCAGCGACGATTCGGACGCCGCGACGGGGGGAAACAATGGTTCAGCTTCCCCGAAGTGGTTTTTTTGATTGGTGGTTTTCGTGGAGGGGTGGGTTCCCATTTAACCGCTACAAGAACCGAGGGTTCAAATCCCCACCAATCAAGGACCTGTTGAGGCACAGCCGATTGGTTGCGGGAAATGGAAGCCCTGCTGATTAGATCATTCTCCAAGAAAGGAAATGAGGAAAGGATGCCGGGCTGCAAAATGGAAACTTTCCTTTTTGGGAGCTGTTCATGCTTTTTTTGTTTTCCTTGGTCGCTTTCAATGTGATTTGTTGGCTGGCGCGGAAGGCCGTGGTCTCATGGCAGTTGTGTTCCGGGAAGGGGTTTCTTCTTCGGAGGTTCTTTGTGAGGGGGGTCCTTTAAACGCGTTGGGTTTTCGTGGGGTGTTCTTTCCATTTTTGCGTCCCTTTGCATATGTTCTTTCTTTCTTTCTTGGGTGCTGTCCTTTCAAGGTCAACCACCCCCCACCTCCCCCCCCCAAACCGCCCAAACCACCCAAACCATCAAACCCCCCAACCCCCGCCCCCCCGCCCAAAAAGGCAAAGCGTGTTTTTGCCTGGCTCAGGAATTCTGCCGGGCCTTCGGCGAGCAAGACGGGCTGCCAGGCGCGGCGGAAGCCCTGCAGTCTTCCGGGCGCCTTTTAGAGACTCAGCTGGGCGGTCCCAAAAAATCGGGTAACCCCGAATTGATGCGAATTGCCTTGCCTTGGTAAATGGAAACAAGGACTAAAACCTGCGGTCCCTTTGTGGATAGTCATCAGACTTCTTGTGAGTTGTTTTTCTTGCTTTATCTCTTGCCAGGAAGGCCCATGGAGACGGATTCAAAGAGAACATGCTCTGGTTCCGAAATGGTTGGCTGAGAGATTGTTCAATGACACGTTCAATCTTTTGTTTGAAGAGACCGTGCAAAAGGTCGACCCAAAGAAGCCCGCGTCCAGCTGAAGCACTCGTTTGCAGAGCTTTGGGCAGCTAAGCAGGGGTCAAGTACCGTGTCAGACTGTTAGTGAAGTCTGCCGGAAAGGAAAAGCTGTTCCAAGAAGCTTTTCAAAGGCACAAAAAGCAAACAGGAGTCAAAAGCAAGCAGGGGGAAGGTTTCAGAGTTGAAAAACTTGTGAGATGTTGGCCATCGCTTCAAGTTGCGTTGCCTTCCTTTTCTTTTCCGGATATCCGCGAAGGCATCCTGGTGGATCGCTTTGGGCGGGGTGCCGTGGTCACCTTCCAAGCCTTGGGCTCCACCAAACTGGAGCTGCTGCTCCAGGAGGCGAAAATTCCATCGATCGATCGCCGCCCGGGGGCATGGCTCAAAACGGAGAAACAAAAACGCCTCCATGGCCCAACAAACAGAACGAGTCGTAGGCCTTTCTTTGGGGGGCATCTCAGAAAAGGGCCAAGAAGCATGCGATCAAAAAGAAGTTGAAGCCGAACAAACGCACGCATCCCCCAGGTTGTATTTTGATGGCCAGGAAGACGAGTTCCAAAACCATCCTTTATATGGTCACCCCCAAGGAATGAAAGACGTCGAAGTCCCCGAAGATGATGTTGGCAAGCCCAAGAGGGCAGTCCGCTGGGCCCCAAAACGAATCCCAAACTGATGTTCAAGGGCTAGAAAATATGTTGGGCCTTTCAATCGACAAAATGAGCGAGAGCAGTACAGGCGTAAAGGCCAGCGACTTGGCTTCTGTTGGTCATAGCAGTGCTTGAGGAGGGCATGTTTCCTCGGGGAGCCGCAAAAGGCTCTGGTTTCGCTTTGCAGCTTTGCGCGCGCAGGAGCTTACCCGCTGGATCGGCAAGCTGCAGCAGCTGAAGCTCGGGCTGTCTGAGTGCAACCCAGATCCGCGTTTCGTTTCTTTGGTGTTCGCTTACGGATGTTCGGCGCAGCCAAGGTCCATATTCAAAAGTTCTACCGCTAGGTTGTCTTGTTGTCGGCCAGGGCAAGGACAAGCAAAATGGAAGCTTAGAGTGCGGAAGATTGTGGTGCATTGCGCCATCACTTTGCCTCGGCAGGCCACCAGCCAACAATTGCATGATGGCATCCCTCCTCCAACCTGCTTCACGACGCCGACAGGAACAGCAACCTTTCGTGGGAAAGGTATCTTCCACACTTTGCTTTTGCAGGGGCCCTGAAGCAAAATGGTACCTTTAAGGGTGACAAGGCAAAATGGTAACAGGCCACACAGAAAAATCGCCCAGTTGATATCCCCACCCCTGGAAAGCTGCTCCGATCCACACTGAGCCTATCTGGGAGATCCCAGAGTTTTTATGCTGGGGAAGCGCTCCATTCCCGACTTTTTGTGGTGAACGTTTGCTTCATGCTGTGTTCCTCTATCTAGTGCTGACAGCTAGAAAGACTCCATTTACTTCTGTTGGGGTATCAGGGGTGTTGCAGGCGGTTTTGCTTTGTAAAGGGGCCAGAACACACAAGTGGAGAGAAGGGTCACAAAAAGGATTGCGTTGTTAGCTGCGACAAAAAAATGGACAGCATGGTGATCGATCGCGGCAAACAGGGAGGGCAAACCTTGAAGCGCTTTGTTGGGGCGTCGCGGTGCTTCCAAGTAGCATTCTCCGCCTTGAAGACCCCTCCCCAATAAAGCAAATCGGACCATGGGTTTTTCAAGATGTGTTTGTCCAGCCTGTCATGAAGCAAATTGCTCGAGGCTGATTTGGCAACACTGGTTGTCGTCAGCGCAAGGTTTCTGTGAATTGCTGTTTTGCAGGGCAGGTTAGCTGGAAGATGGAGTGTCCGGCCACCAGGCAATTACAGCGTCGTTTCCACGGGCACGTGTCCCTTTCTAATGGGAAACAGACGGCAAAAGAAAGTTCAACTTATTCGCTTGGCTTCTAAGAAAATAAGAGAAGTGGAGGCAAGTTAGCGCCGGCCGACTTCTGCCATCACCATTATTGCCTCGCCCTAGCGCCTAGGACAGTGCACCGCATGAGCGCGAAGAAGGAGAAGTGGGCGCAGGAGGGCTCCGAGTTCACCACCCAGATCCTCCGGGGCGACCACAAGGCGCGCGGAAGAAACGGGACGGGCGTTTGGCAGAACCAAGTTTGCAAGACAAACGAAACAACGGCCACCTAGTCCTTGCTGGGTGACAATGATTTCGCTTTGGAGACAGGCACGCAGACAGACAGACAGACAGACAGACAGGCAGGCAGGCAGACAGACAGACAGACAGACAGACAGGCAGACAGAGCATTGGCCGGTGGCTGCCATGGAACTTTGTCAGCTGCCCAGACCTGACGCGGCACATTGCTAGTTGTTTGTCTCCTGCGCGTGAATCGCGCAGCCTGAAAGAAGACGACTTGCGTGGATTACAAGCGGCGCAGAGCAAGGGGTTGCTGAGATCATGCTTGCCGAGGGGGAATGTCTGACGGGTGCCTGTTCCTTGTGTCACACGGTGAGACTCATCTAGAAGCAACTTATGAACGAAGAGAGTGATAATGCGAGGTAACGAGATGACCAAAGGGAATAGGCAGGATTCATCCGCTCGTGTACTCGCTTTCCCTATCCACTGTTTCCTCTAAGCTGTTCCACTTCTATCTGTTGGTTAACAGCTGGAAACAGATAGGAAAGGGAAAAAAGAGAATGAAAGACTGTAAAATCCTTGACCTGGCTCCACTCTGTCACTTGGTCACGTCTTTTATCTAAGATTTCATGATTCATAAGTTTCCATGAGATCCAATATTATTATTGTAGATCCTGAGTTTTTGCCATTGGCGGTTACATTTGGAGATTATTTGGTGTAATAGCATGTAGGAAAGCACTTTTGGATTACAATTAAATGCTTTTAGACTGCTTTTCTATTTACATCTCTTTCCTGTTGCCCAAGAGATAGGATTTCCAAGAAATAGAAAGGAATGGACAAGAGAGGAATAATCAAGAGATTTCTACCGGAAAAATCCTCAATCATATGCTGTGTCTATAGGTGAGTCTTATCTTATCCCTACCATCTATCTCTTTATCTCTCATTCCTTCTTCCCTTGTCCCTCTATTCCTTCTCTCTCTTATTCTCCAGTCACTCCATTCCTTACTAATAAGACCCGAAGGTTGAGGGACGTAGAGAAAGGAATGGCCATCTCTTCCCCATTCACTCTCCTTTGCTCTTCTTTTCCTTTGTTGAAGAGCAGTGAATGGTAAAGAGATGAAGGATGCAGCGGCCAGTAGATAAAGCCGCGATTAAAGGGATATCAGTCGCTTCTAGATGCGACACCATAAGATATCCCGCCCTATCTCCTTTGGTCGTTAGGACGTGTATCATTCCTTTCTCTTGGTTACCTCGTGCCTCAGAGATAAGCACGAGAAGAGAAAGGTATACCAGCTCCTGTATCCATTCCTTACGTCATAGGAGCTGGCCGTGTCCATGACAGGTAGGACACGGAGAAGTGAGTGAGTTAGCGAGTGAACGGTGAGTCTCTTCCTTCGTCAGTCCCTACCTTATCCCTCTATCACGCTCCAGTCAAGGGATTTATAATTGGGAGCGTGAGGAAGGGACAGCAGTAAAAGATTGGATGGAAGCTGTCCCATGTCCCATTCTCTTCTCTTCGTTCTCCCACCATTCTATTCACTCGCTTACATCTGAGTCAATAGGTGGGAGTGAAGGAAGAGAGCTGACTCACAGGAACTCGTCCATCATTATCCATCTCTTCTCTGTCGTATCTTCTCCAAATGTATTAACTCATCTCTGTTCCCAATCAAGACTCCGGAAAAGCATTAGATTGAGGTGATGATATTTGGCTTCTTTCTTCCTCCGTCATATCCACCTCTCTACATCACTTCAAATGCATTAAAATCCCAAATAATAAGATAAGATTGAAATAATATAATGCTTTTAGTCTTTCCTACATGCCTTTCCCTTCTTACCAGCCAATATGCGAGAGGCTGGAAGGGACCTACACATGAATCCCACGGCATAATCTCTGTTCATAATGTTGCCTGACGTGGGCTCCCAATCTGATGACTGAGGAGACGAAGGAATGGGTGTGTGTGGGTCATTACATCTCTCTCTCTCCCACACACCTTCCCAGCCTCTTTGCCACCGGCTGGCTTTCCTTCTCCCTTGCTCCACCACCTTACGTTCCTATCCTAGACTGTGTGGTGGAGGGAGAAGTGACATGAAGGAAGCGAATGAAGTGAGCGGCCATCTCTTTTCATCTCTTGTCCCTCGGTTTCTCCTGGCTGTCGCTACCTCATGTCCAATCGATTGAAGAGAGATGACATGAAGGAAGTAGATATCAGGCATTACATGGAAAGGAATGAAGATATGGTGAATGAGGTTTACTGAAAGGCCAGGCATTATACTGTATCTCTTGGAATCTCTGGTCTTTTATCCCTATCTTTCACCTCTTTACGTAATACCTTGGAATGAATGGAATGTGATTGTAGGTGAGTGGGTTTCCTGGAGATATCTTTCCTTGTCATGTCATGCCTGTTACCCAAGAAGACTCAATTAGAGGCGAGGCATGCCGTGGGATTCTTCCATTGGCTCCGCTCCATTCGTTTCTCTCATGTCCCTACACACTGTCAATGAACGAAGGGAATGTGGATAGAACGAAGAGAATGGGAAAGGACGTGTACACAGGAACTCCTCTAACCAAGACACGTCCTCACCATGCATTCCTTTCTCTTCCTACTCTCTACATCCCCTTTCATCGCTTGGAAGCGTGGGGATGTGAGGAAGAGAGAAGGGATGGCGCCAGCGGGATAATCCTAGAGACAAGAGATGGAAGAGTACAGAGGTAACGGTTGGACGAAGGAATCTCACTCTCTAGACATGCCTTTTATCTTCATCCTTTCATCTCTCTTTCCTCTATTCCTTACCTAACAGATCCAATATTATTTATTTGTATTTATTTTGTATTATTTATAAGTCTTTATTACACTCCATATCTTCACTATATCTTCATCACAGTTCCTCCCGCCTCCGGCTGAGTCTCTACCTCCATTCAAGATATGATGAAGAGATACCGGGTGTTGCATAGCTTGGTTGGTAGGTTTTGTAATTGTGTTTTGGTTGCAGTTTTCGTGGGAAGCTGCTTGGCTGACTGGGGTTGTTGGCGTTTTAATGGTTGTTGTTGTTTTTCTTTGCATGCTGCTTGCGCAGTCTCCCATGCAACCCCACGGTGAAGGATATGTTCATAATTGTTTTCCTTCTCCGAAGGTGACAAACACTCTTCGTACCCTCGAGGAAATGCAAGTGTGGATGTGCGGGTGCAGGTGCAGGTGCGGGCGAGCACGTGCGCGCGTGTGCGTTTGCAAGTGGGATGGTGCAGCATAGCCTGTTTGCTCAAGAGTTTCCTGGGTTTCGGTTGGGATTCCTTAAATGCTAATTAGCATTTATTCGTTTTTGTTTTGAGACGTTGGTGCGCGCTCGGTTTCAATCCAAGGTTCGTGTGGAGGAAGCGTCTGCGCGCTTCGACGTGGACGTCCTTCAGGGCCTGGTGCCAGGCAGCTGCGAAAAGCTCCCAGCAATGGTCCACTTTGGTTTTTGGACGAAAACGGAATGGAATCCGTCGCCCTTGTGATTTTGGGTCCGAGTCCGAAGCCCTGGTGATATCCCCAACCCTAGAACCTTTCCGGAACCGTCCTTCAAGCTGTCGCAAACCGCCCCGGAGTAGAGAACCCCACAGCTTGCAGCAGTTGGGGAAAAAGGTATAATGTAGCTCCTTAAAAAACATGTATTATTTCTTCAGAGTGATGGAAGGTGCCTAGTAAACCGTGTTGCCGTTCAATCAGCTACCACGCTGGAGGAAGGGTAGCAAACAACATTTGAGTCGTCCCAATCACGACACATGGTACTTGTTTGGAGGCCGCACCTAAAGAGCTCAGTCCATGCGCGATTGCCATTTGGTCTACTCGTTGTTTCTTTGCCCACACCCCTGAGACATGGGTCATGTCGGTTTCCCGGCACCAACAACCTCGGCAGAGTCGAAGGTTTTGGATGGGTTTGCTTCCCTAAGCTTTCAAGGCTAACTTGGGTCTCCCCGCGTGGCTTTTAGCTCGGGGCCTGGAGGTTTACATGTCAGAGCCAAAATGCGTTTACGCCCCAGTCAAAACGTGGAGGGCAAAGACTGCCCGGGAAGGAAAAAAACACGTCTGGGACCCCCATCCTCTCTGACACCCCGTGTTCGTTGGGCCATGTAATGGTCTATTCACGTATCCATCCTTCACTGCCAGCCGGGGCAAGTTCGTTTCGGAAGTTGGCGGTGCGTTTGGAGAGGACAGGACAGACTACCCAATGTCCCCTGTGCGGACATTGGAAGCGCATTTGCATGGGCTGACAACCCCAATTCTCCAACAGAAGCCAGCTAACGGAAGGTACTTGTGCATGGGGCAACGTGCTGAGCTCAACAGAAATGGTAAAGGGATTTACTGGGAGGAAGATTAAAGACAGGCCCAGGGTGTATCCGCAACTGCCAAAGTCCTTCCGCCTTGTGCACGGACTCCATGGCTGTCGCAATTGGGAAAGAAGACATTGAATAAAGTGCCCTTCACTGTTGTTGACAATGTGTTTAGTTGTTTGTTGTTTGATTTGGTGCATGTTTAGCAGGGTGCAGAAAAAGAATCGGTTGTTGCGAGCCCACACCAAGGTTGCAACGTGCAAAGTTTCTGTTTCGCAACAAAGTCCCATGCCAGGACACTGGAACTACAGCCTCGAGAAACTGCGGGCGCGGCTGGCGGAAAGTATGGCCTCAGGCGCGGCGGGTTGTTTGCGTTCAACGGAAGAGAAGGCTCCTGAAACAGCCCGAACGTCCATGAAACAGCTTGTTGCATTCCGGTCTTGAACTAAACCAGCTTGATTTGCAATGAGAAGCGGACGCCTTTTGATGGGAACCAAAGAGCGGGGAGGTCTCAAAGTAGTCCACAGAGCCGGTCAATGTGTGAGCCGTCCAGCGGCTAAATGCATCCGAACTCAGGGCCAAAGGAGCCCCCTCACCAAGTCTCAGGCACAGTGCTGGACGCCTGGGCCCACTGCGGGCAGTGGGGCATTCGCTGTGGTCTCAAGGGCGCAGAGGCCGCCGCTTCGCCGCTTCTCGAGCCGCGTTCAGGGGAGATGCGACAGGCTTGTGTAATGACTGAATCAACCCCACTTGTTAACAGACCCGGATACCTTTTTAGGGCATACAGCCTTCCAGGAGGGTCCACGATAAAAAACAAAGGGGGGGTTGTTCATCAGGGGTCAACATTAGGCTAGTGTAGACCTTGGACTTGGGAAGCTCTTAGCAAGCAGAATGTCAGCTTTGTTGGAAGTCAGATTCTGGATATGCTAGTTGGTTGAGTAGATGTTCTGAGTTGATACGTGTTACATGTTCCCGGTGACTTGGGTGAGTAACAATAAACTCTCTCTATAATGTATGCAGATATATGTCTTTGTCTAGTAAACAGTTGTTGCCAGTCAAATACCTGGCTCTTTGATGCGGCCATCAAGTGACCTAGTTGCTACACCCCAACATCCAGAACATGACTTTCCAGGCCTACCCCGCTTCCGGGAACCCCTCCATTGTCCCAGTATGCAGGACACAAGTTGCTGTCTTGCGACCACTTTCTTAAGGTTCTCGGTCTTTCTCAGCGCGCCAGTCATCTATCTGGGTCAGCTTTGCCTGTATCAACCCGCGAATCCCCCTTCTCGGGTGCGGCTGAAACATAGGCCAAGCCCAATGGTTGATTTCCTGGTTGAAAATTTTGGCCCATACCCACCTATAGGAAATGTCCATCTCCCTTGGATTGACGTTAAGCTGAGAAAAACCTGAGCCACTCCCGCGGACGAAGCCGCAGGTGGTGCTGCTGGAGGACTCCTTGGGTTTAGCCAAGCTCTGCCGGGAGAACGCCCAGCTCAACGGACGCTCAGCTGGAGAACCGGGCCACGCCATGCTCAACCGGGGCGTTTCAGGACGGGGTGATACTGTGGGTGGACGAAATCCATTTCGCACCACCCAAGAAACCCCGGAAGGATGATTCCCCCGATAAATACCAACAAATAGTGGGTTCTCATGGATTCAAAGCAAAGTGGTGCAGGATTTTGTCCATCCACAGTACATGTGTTTTTTTGGCCCAATGGAAGCTTCTTCTTCACGATTCTTCAATCCGGAAGATTGCAGGCTCGACGTAAGACACTTCGAGGATGTTGCGTGCAATTGCGTCTCTGAAGGGAATCGAATTAGCTCTCGGCAATGTCTACCCTTCGGAGATAGTCCATCAGAGGCATGTTGAGCATCAGGGCTTAGCGCGGCGAAAACTCGCAATTGTTGCGGGCTGCGCGGGTACACGCGTGGGATTCAAATTTGCGATTTGAAGACCACTGCGCTCCCTCTCTTTGTCTCTCTCCAATATGTATCTTCAGTATATTACATATACATATATATATATATACACATGTATTATACGATATATATATATATATATATGTCTACATAAATATACAATATATATATATATATATGGTACAGTAGCAATTGTGGCAGTTATTCCGCGCGATTCCTTACTGGCGATTGCACCTTTCGTGCCTGAAACGCTAGCGAATGCGATTGGCGCAAAAGCCGGCGATTTGCGCTTGCAAGTTAAGATCATGAGATATTCTCCAGGCACTGGGAGCTCATTGCATGTGTTTGTATCTGATTTATGCTTGCCATCATGTGTTTGGCCGCTGTTCATAGTGTGAAAAGGTGTGTTGCTTCTAGTGTTTGTGTTTGTGTGTTGTGTTGTGTTTGATTGTTTCATTGTTTGTGTGTGTTATGTGGCATGAACCATGGACGAGTATTCGAAAGGTTGCCAGTCAAGTGGGCAAGCCTTGTGCTTAAAAGTTGTTTCCCAACCGCGATCCATGTTCATACCATGTCAAACAGAATCCGCACGTGCATGCGTTTTCACTGTTGTGTGTTTGTTTGTGTTTGTGTATGTGTCTGTGTCTGTGTGTGTGTGTGTCTGTGTGTGTGTGTGTGCGGAGTGACAGAATGCCCTGTCACCACCCTTTCGGTTTCTCAGCAGGGGGGCAGTGGATCGCCATCACTCACTGCCCAACGAAGACAGTGATGGTTTGATCGTGAAATCCGGAAGGGACGCCTTCTGGACGTACCTGCAATTTGAGAAAGTCGTGATGCTCTGAACGTCCTTTTGGTCCCCCCCTGAACCGCTGTTGCTTCCTTGTTTCCCTGTTGAAGTAACTACAGGGAAGCCAAGTGACCAGCAAGCCGATGGGGTTTGTCCCCAGTTGTACTCGAGACTCATCAGTTGTACTCGAGACTCATCAGTTGTACTCGAAAGATTAGCACTCTCCATTTGGAGTTTAAGTGTGTACACCCCATTCGTGGGGAATCCTCGGGTGTACCCATTGTGTGACCCCGGGCCGGCTCTGTCGGAAAATTTGACCTCAACGTGCTTATCATAGAACAGCGGAATTTCACATTTAACCAGGAACGAGGTCTCACTAAAGGGAAGACAGCGGTCAGATCATAGAGACGTCTCACCATCGATGTTTGCTTGCCATTTGTTGGATTCGTTGATACCTTGCCGTTGCATGGATTTGCTTGTTGTCTGATACGTGTCTCTCAAGATGGAAGCGTGAAGATTGAGAGTCGATTGTGTAACCATGTCTCGACGTGATGATCGTGATAGATCCAGGACTCGGCGCAGACGTGATCGGAGTACTTCTCCTCAGGCTCGTAAAGCACACCGACGTGAACACAATGACCACCACGTCTCGGAAGGCATGGATTGGAACAACCTGGTATCTTGGCAACACAATTCCGGCTACAACTCTGCCAACAATTTCCCGATGATGCCCACCAATTTTCAATCGACTCACAGTCCCACACAGCAATTCCAACACCCAGCGATCAACTACATGATGCCGATCCCTCCAGACCCCACGCCAACGAAGTTCATGCCACCCGTGATGCCACCACCGGTCACTACTCCGCAACCTACACCGCCACCTGGACCTCCTGCGGCTCTACCGGTTCGCCCTCAGAAAGCCTGGCTTACACCATCGCCTGACTGGACACCTGGAGATGGCATGTTTGATGTCAATCAGCTCTACAACTTTAGCCTGCCCATGACCGTTGCCAACACTCCGCATGGCAACCTGCGCGACATGTCAGGCATGGATATTCGTGACGTTCGCCTGGTTCAGGTTATTCATGGGGGCCTCACCAACTGGCTGCTCCGACCGTTCGCTCACGGCAGATTCGTGACGTGGGAAGGCTTTCGCACTCGCACCGAGGCCTTACTTTGGAGTACCTGTTCCAAACTACTACGACGATCACAGTCGATCAACCTGCTCACCCTGGAAAAGGACCTTGCCAACTCGCTGGGTCTCAACATCGATGACTTCAATCAGCGGATCAAGGTTCATGACCATTTGGCCAGCTTGGTACTTCAATTTCTTCAGCAACACCACGCTCTCTCACACCTTCCACCCAGACAGATGACATGGTCAAGAAGTACAATGATCTAAATCGTGCGCATGAGCTGCTCCAGGCTCAGTATTCAGCATCGCTGCGCGCTTCGACCTCTCCCACGATGGCAAGCCAGAAAGATGATGCAGAGTTGGTTACACCGCCACCGGTCAACCACACACAATCCTCGTCACCTGCCAGCTCCCTCCCTACAGCCAGCGCAGCGGCCCTTGATGGCAAGTCGTTTGATAGCGCGGTGCAACCCCGGATCATTCAGTCTCTTCACGGAGTGTCTTCACCGCCGTCCAAGCCGGCGGCGTCACAATTGCTCACCATGCACAGCACGCCGGAAGAAGTTGTCAAGTACTACACATGGACCAGTGACCAGCCACGCCTTTATCTCAAGCAATCGCCCACAACCACGACTTTGACGTCACTGGTCAAGTGGGCCAATCACCCGTCCCGGCTCAACGGCAACAAGTCATTAGATTCCATGGCGACGCAGCTCCTTCAAGCGCGTCAACGCATGCCGAAAGGCGACGCACCTACTCTCGGGGCGATGGCGGCTTCGTGGGGACTGGAGCCCGGCTATCTCACCAAGCTCACTGAGAAGGCATTGAGTCACCTCATCGTGACCGCTCGCCTACTCAGCTGATGAGCAGGCATCTTAACGACCTTCGTTCTCTTATGAGCCCGGAGCGGCAACCGTGTCACGGATGAGTCAAGGTTAAAACTCGTCCGTCATCTTTCTGCGTTGCATCAGTTTGATCTTGTGCTTGGTTGTGCTTGCATTGCCTTGTGCGTGATTGTCTGTGCAGCTTGTATCCATGTCGCCGCCTTATGGTAGATTTCATTGGTTGCATTTTCACCATGTTGGATGAGCTTCGCCGCTGTGGAATCTATGATGATGTTGCACAATGGCAGTCTCTGGACAACTTTTTACACTCGTTGACCATGTTCTCTACGTGCTGGCAATACTGCTTCCCTGGACTACCACCACCGTCGATACCAGCTGATGAGTACGAATCAATCACACAACTACCGTGGTTGGGCCTCATTCTGGAAGTCTTAGTTGTGGTCCGGATTGCCCTTCAGATTCCGAATCACGCTATGTCACACTCTCAACACACTGTGGCCAACAGGTATGAGATTCATAGATGTCGGTGCACTGCCTATTTATTGATCAGTTTCTTACAACGTCTCATTTCCCAAGATCATGGCTACTTTCCGCCGTTCTTTGAAGTCCTTCACTTCTACAAGGCTTCTCTCTTGTGTGAAATCATGCACTCCACTTTTGCCGACACGCGACATCTTCGCTCATTGCGGGCACGATTTCCGGACCTCTATGACTTCATTCACGATCCAGGTCATCATCAACAACCGTGCGTCTACATCAGACTTTCCCCATGGCACACACCTTACTACGTTGGTGCGACTGATCAGGATGTTCTACGACGTGAACACTCACGCAGTCGCAAATTTCTACAACTACTTCGAAGACGTCATGCCTTCTTCGAACCCGCGCTTCACTACTGGAAGCGATCCAATACTTACTGGCTCTTCTGTGCTGTTCCGGTTGAGATCAAACTTCCCGTTTCCTCGGTTTGGGTCCAGGAAAGCAAATGGCAATACCTGCTACGCCCGCATTTGAATGCACCCTGGGTACACAGACTTCTGCGAAAGGTGGGCTTCCGGGAACACCTCGTTGATTTTCGACGTCACTCGTTGTCGTCTCCCACTTCCCTCGGCTTGCACAAACGCTTTCGACGACGACTACATCCGGATCTCCAACGGCAACTACGTCCCGACATGCTGGATGACATTCAGGCCCATTACTCTATTCTCTATCAGCTGGGATCCAATACAGGTGCATCGTTCCAAGCCATGCGTGACCTTCTGTCGGCAGCTTTCCCTCCTACTCAGCTTTACTACTTTCTGCGGCTCTCCGTCTTTGTCAACGAGCCCTTCCGCTCCAAGGCGCAGAAACTCCTCGCCCAGGTGTTACGCAAACGACAGCTACAATCACCCACCACTTTGACACAACTACTCCTACCGCCTCTACATGTCCGGAATTGGAAAGCTCTACTTGGCACATGGTTACAAAGCTGGATTGCTTCTCATCGTGATTTGTTTCCCTCCCTTTTCCTTCCAAAGATCCGGGTGGTGGAAACTCGCAGTGCCACGTTGGGCGACAAGATCTACAACTACCGCACATGGCAGCGCAGATGGACTCCTGAAACATCCTTTCCGTGTCGCTGTTTGGACATCGATGATCACCATATACACCGAGCACATGGACATGCTGTAATGGTTGATGAGTTCTCACGCATCAATGCGGACATTGACATGGACATCATGGCCGCATCAATGAAGGATCAGTATTTCGGTGATGTCGACTTGTTACATCAACGTTTCACCACGCAACTTCGCAAACTTGCTCGTCGCTGGCATGTGCATGGTTCCAGTCTTCTT